GAAAATACTTCCACCTAAAATAGCATAAATCTATTAACTTCAAGAAATGAACAGACGTTGTTTCATTGAGCGACTCTTGAATTTTTGATGTACTTATATTTTACACATGATGGATAGTCTACCCGGGGGTGTCTTATCCGAGGGGTTATTGCGGGAATAACTAGAGATAAGTCAGAGCAAAATAGGAGGAGAGAGAGTCGATTTATTAGATGAACTCTGCGTTTGGATCTGGGATCGTTTACAAGGAGAAATGGGTTGCTATTTATAGCAGCAATAAATGCGATGAGAGTACACGTGTCAACAATCCAACGGCCGAGGGGTCACATCAATCGGGTGGCACTGGCAGTGGTATGTTCACCGCATTGAATGCGGTGGGTGGATGTGACGTCGTATTAAATGCGGTGGTTGGTTGTCTCCAAAGGGAATCTTCGATGATTGAGCCTGTTTCACCGAAGGCTCCTCGAGTAGCCCAGGGCTCCTCGTGTAGCCGAGGGCTTGGTGTAGCCGAAGGCTCTGTGTAGCCGAAGGCTTCCCTGATGTCGAGGGCTCCTGTTTTCTCCCGTTTTCTCCCAGTAGCTTCGTGTGCTCGAAACTGGCTGTCCTCTGTAGTTTGGAGCATTCGGCAAAGTGGGCCGAAGGCACCCAAGTGTGTATTCGGGCTCATTTAAGACTTGGGCCGCTGCATTTGGGCCTGAGATACTCCCTGGGCTTAATAGGCTTGTGTAGGAGAAGTAGGAGTCTATGGGCCAGGGGTTCCTGGACCATATACTCCATCAACACACTTTTTAGACTTAGTTTGTTGTTAATTTTAGTTATTAAAGTTCCACTTTTGTACATATTTTTATTATTTGTCGTTAGTTTGTATTAGTGCAGCTCTATACGGGTATTTTGTATTTTCAGGTACTTTTGACACAATTTGATATATTTGTGTGTGAAGAGAACAAGAAAATGAAAGTTCCAGTTAAAAGTAGAATTTCAAGCAAATGAGTAAATTGAAGAAAAGAGGCAAAAAGTGAAAGGAATAACATGGAGCAAGGGTTCGATCCTTGGTCACTTGGGAAAAGAAGGGCAAGCTCAAGCAATGAGCTAAATGTCAAAGTTGCAAAGGTTTAGCTGGAGCTTATTTTAATTCCTTTCAACTGCAGCAAGAAAAGACGGAAAAAAAATGTCAATAGAAGGCTTCGAACACGGAACCTCAGAGACTTAGGAGCATTCCATTACCACTGCACTGCTACGCGTTATTGATACTTGGACGCGTTTTTTTTACATATACTCTTCGGTTCTGTAAATTCCAGCAATTAATGATTAATCACCTTATCATTATATTACCTTAATCCATCTCCTTCCACAAATAATCTCGAACCAACTTCTCTCTACACCTCCCAGAATCATTTCCTCCTCCTTCTCTCTTCATTCTTCATCTCCAAATCATCAACCAATCTTCAACATCAATTAATCACTTTCTCAATCAAGATTAAAGTCAAGATTAGCACCAAGCTCCAAGGATTGTCATCTATCACAAGTTTGATCTTCCTTATCTCTTTAAATCTTGTACTTCAATCATGAATTCATCTATTTCTAACCTTTCCAACATGTATAGCTAAATAAATTTGGGGCTAGAAATTGGTTAATTAATTGTTCTTATCATGTTTTAATTTGTATTGATTTTAATTGTTAAGTTTGTTCTATTTAGATTGTTGTGTCCAGAAAATTAATTATGTTATGTTTGTGATATATATTATGAGTACTCAATCATAAACATATTGTTTGTTAAATACACAAATGAACACTTTCTGAACACACCGTTAAACTTCTTTTACCTTGTCCCAGATTGAATTTTTACGAGAGAATTTAATTATTTAATTATATTATTTACACCACGGGGTTGGGTAAATAATATAGTTAATAATTAAGGTTGTCGTTGCACTTAAACAACTAGTCTCGTTTTGGCCATCACTGGGAAATGTTGACTAGTTACTTATTTTAGATGACTTGTGTTGGGTCCTAAAATATTTATCCACAACTTCTCACAATCTATCTAAGAATAAAATTAGCAATTATGTCTCTCAATTAAACATTGAACAATTAGTTACCAATTTCTACCCCTACTTGCTATTTGTTGAACTTTGTGTTGATAAAAATCTCTCATCTCAATCACTTTTATTTTATTACTCTAAAATCAAAAGAACGCATTCCCAACTTTAATCTTTAGTTTGTGCTTAATTATTTTATTTCCTGCTTCTCTGTGGTTCGACACCCTACTTCCTTGGGTAAAAAATAGTTGTGTGTCCATTATATGCAACACACCAATTTTGATTTGTATTTTTCTATACTCAACTTAAAGATAAAGCATGCTGGTATTAATTTGGAGTAATATGTAAGGATACCATCAAGTTTTTTTCACACCAAAATGTCTTGTCCAAGAAAAGGTCTGCGAGGAGCAAGTGCGTAGAGCAAGTGATCGAGGCAGATCTCGGTGAACTCTTATCGGCCTACTTCATTTCAGCTTCAGGCAATCAATGTTAAAATATAAAAACATGGTTTTATGTCTCTATAACCTTAAACTTTCAAATTTTCATGCAAAAAAAAATTGATGTTGTCATTTGTAAAGACGCCTTAACTTTAGTTACTGAAAATTTGAACTAAAGGCAACAATAAAATTTCAATTCTGACACAAAACAGGGCCAAATAGAGCTTGAATGACAGGTTTGGAATACATAATATGTATTTCAATATATTTCTCAAGCCTAATATTGTTAGAAAAGGACCAAACATGATAGTAAAAAGGGAAAGGCTACATTTCAGAAAATAGCAGGATACACCTATCTTTAACAAAAACTATTTAGAGTAGAGCATTTCACATTTCACAACTGGTATACAGACACGAGCCGGTCATAAAAAAGAAAACTTATTATGTTCGTGTGTTGATAACAGAGAAAACGACATCGGGTAGCAGAAGTATTAAGAACACATAATTGTTAAATTTACTTGATTTAATGTTTGAGGACATCAGAAAAATTGAGAATGTAGTGAAAAATTATGCTTATAGTCATTCCAAATAGAACCTTGTGTTTTAATTCTTCTTTTTTCAGTAGATAATTTCTTAACTAAGAGAACTAAACCTCGTCATTCGTTGGTAAAAAGGTTATGATAATAGATACAAACAAACTAAACAGACATAGTCTAACTCTAAGAATTCTTTTGTCTTAATAAAAGATAAGAATATGTAAACAATATGTTTACCAAGCAGACATAGTCAACCAAACACATCACCAAATACTACGTTTAAATTTTCCTAACCTTATTCCAAATGTTTAAATTGAACAAACCATCGTAATGAAGTGAGCACAAAATGAAGAGGTATATTAGGTTAAAATTAACAAAAAATCATTAAATCTTGGTAAACAAAATTATTTTGTTAAAATCGGATTAGCTTCTACTTTTATCATTTCGATTATTTTGAAATAGATAATCCAATTTCCTAAATCTTCTTTTGTTTTAAACTCAAAATAGGTTTAGGCATAAGTCCACAAAGTCAAAGAAGGGAGGTTACGGGATCTCCAGTAATCCTCATTGCAATCATCATCATTGAATCACATGAAGAATAAAAGATGAAGGGAGTGAAGCCTCACCTGCACTTATCAATCATCACAGAAGACCACAAATCCAAGAAACTATGTGAGGAGAAGATGAAGGGAAGAAGCCGCGTGAGGAACCCTAGCGACCTAGCGTCCATTTCTGGAGTGAAGGTTTCAATGCTGTGAAACCTTAAGGAATGCTCAGTGAAGTGAATAGATGAGGTTTGTATCATGCACGGAGTATACGAATTGAATTCATAGGAATTGAAAGTGGAAACGTGAAGTTAATAAACATGGACAGGACGGTGTGAGACGATGAAGTTAACGAAAGGAGGTTTAATTAACGGAAGCCGGGGGTAGGGAGTAAAGAAGAAACAAGAAAGGTATTATGCCTTTAGGGTAATGTACAACTCTATCTAGCTACACTATACCACCAACACAATTTTTATTCCCAAAAGGGTATTAACCCTCATTCACCATTATAATATTTTAGAAATCCATCAAAACAATATTGTAGTACTTATTTTCAATTTACTTGTATTTATTTTGGCTAGCCATATCTCACGGCTTGATATGATGGATATTATCCTGGCCGAGCCAATTCAGCCAAACACAAATAATTGAAGAAGTCATCTTCTCTTAACTGAGACTGGACCGAGACTCGAGTGTGTGTTTAGTAACAAGGGCATGATAGGAATTATGAAAATGATGTGTGTGTGATTAGTAAAATGGGTGGTTTCCCTTTAGCTTGTAACATGGGTGGTTTCCAAATTGCGGGCTAAAAATGAAGATTTCATTTGATTATATCACATTAAGTGACTCGAGCTAGGATATAATGACGTTTCTTGATGAAAGACTTGTTGATTAATTCTAATTTGAGATGACCACAAACAAGTTAGAGATGGTTATGCATGCATATACTCATACTCGTTCCATGGGTAATTCCTCTTTCTTGAAACCGCTCTGCTATCCAACAAGTAATTTATATCCACACTATAATAACCGCACTGACAAGTGAGAGTATAATTGCACGTATACCTAAATGTCATTGATACTTTAGTAAAAATTTAATACTAGATGAATTTAATACTCTAAAAGGCGGTAAATAGAACCACCTAGGCGGTGCTAGATGAGAGACACCACTTAAAAGTCTTGTTTACTCAGAAGTGAAAAGAGGTGGTGGCCCGAATTAATTGAAGTGTTAGCACTTAGATAAATAAAAAAATAAAAAATCAAGAAAAAATCGATAATAATCAAACTAGACTCTTTAAAACCATTACCCAAGCAAAAGATGTGGATTATACTTGCTTTCATTATATTGTAGTGGTGATAATACGTACACAGTTGAAATAAGGTAATCTCATATTTTCCAATCTTATACAAATAATATGAAAGAATGAAATCAAAATACAATTAAAAGAGAGGACACAGAGTTCCGAAGGAATTATGGATACATATATATATGTGCATCCTCAAATGAAAAACAAGGTTTTCTTGGAACCAAAATACAGAATTTAAAATAAACAATTTTTGGTGTGCACGAAATTTGTACATATTTCACACACATTTGTTCGTAATTGTCTGTATACACAAACAATGTTGCACGAGTTACTTGCGTACACATACAACTAAGGGGTACACATTATCTATGCATACAAACAATTATACACAAATGCATGTGTGCGTATACAAATTTTGTGTACGAATAAAATTTCTCAAAAAAAATCAGCAAAAGTCAAAAGAGAATATGATGTATCTCGTTTCCCTGTGGAGGGGTTTTGATTGTTTTCCCCTAGGTTTGTCTAGGAACAAGAACATTAAAGTCACTAACACTCCATTCGGCCACTTGGTAAGGGTCATTAAATATTTCAGTTCCCAAATCAATTGATGTCCAGTTCCTAGTAACATTGACCGCACCTGGATCCTGCATCACAAATTCACAAGCATGATATTTTGCATATTTAGGGGTGTTTGGATGTGATTCTCAAAACTGAATCTGCTCCTTCACGGAGCAGAAGCAGAAACTGGAGTATTTGAGTGAAATTCCAGAAGCACTTCTGGTGCTCTAATTTACTATCAGAATCAGTTTTTGTAGAAGCTGGTAGGTACCAGCTTCTGAAAACTGATTCTGATTCTGCTTCTGCTTTAAAAAAGAAGCAGAAGCAAAATCAGTTCCAAACACCCCCTTATTTTAGTTCAAACAGTAAAATTCGGAATTTTATCGTAGAACAATAATCAACCAAGCGATGACAGACAAAAGCGTGGCTAGCTTAGGATGTTTTTATTTTCGGTCTCAACCCATAACAGAACAAACCATATTAAACTTAAATAGATCAAATTAAATGAGATTAGACTTAAACAGACCAAATCAGTTCAGAGTTCAGACTAGACCAGATCAAATCAGTTCACACCAAACCATTTTAGAAAATATGAGTCAAATTAAAAACATCCTTAGTCCGTGTCCGTGTGAGTGAGCGCAAAGACTACCTACATACCTGGTAAAAATAGAGGTTATGTGACAATCGGCCAACATCAAGGTTCCATGTTCTTGGATCTCCAATCCATCCCTCACCTTGCTTGGTAGGGTACCCATATTCACCCCAAACAGGATGGGGCAAAAGTTGCACAATCTCCTGAGGCTGGGGATTGCTGTAGGGGTCACATTTGGCTTTGTCGTCAATACCCTCTGCATTCCCGGGTGCACAGTAGTAGTGGTATGCACCATACGGAAAATTGGCAGTGTCATTGCGGTAAACTGTTGTTCCATTAGGGAAGGTGTGATACAAAGGACAGCCTAAGAATGTATTCCGATCACACCACGATTTCGTGGCGGGGTTGAGGATCATTTCGCTATACCTCGTTACATCCGTTGTCACATCCCCGTCACATGGCATCCCGTTGTTCTTCCAACAGCTCCCAATGTCCAGCAAGTAGAATTGGCTTTTACTACCTCCTCCGTGGTAAACGGCCAGGCTGAATGTCACGTTGAAATTTGGCGATTGTGGAATCTAAAATACAAAAAATGCACATATCAAAGTAGTAGTCTCGCCCAGCTAGGCCAGGTCATAGTTTTGTGTTAGTTCGTATTGCTCAAAATGATTAATGATTAATGTACGTAAAAGGGCTTAACAATATGTTCTAGGAGATGAGATTATCGATATCATATCGATGATCGAAGTAAATTGTATCGATGCAAAAAGATGTAGAAATCATGTATGTAGATCTTATGAACTACGGAGTATATATTAAACTTTGTAGAAACTTTATAGAGATTATATGACTTATATTAGTGATAGAACTGAAGAAGCGGTCCAGTCTAGCTGGTCGCCGACTCACTCTCTCTTACGGGAGGTCCCGGTTTCAATTCTCAGCGGAGTGAGATTGAGCCCAGTTTACCCCAGGCCCCCCCAAACCCCCCTCCCCTAACGATCTATTGTAAAGAAAGTATTGCATATCTGTCAATCTATTAGGTTGAACCTCGTCTCTTAACAAGATCATATTATTGAAGAAAGAAAGAATGCATGAATGTACTTACAATCTTTAACATGCCCCGAGTGGGATAGTGGTACCCGCCCGAGAATCCAGCGGTGGCGTCGGCCCTTAGATAAAGCATGAGCCATTGAAAGTTTTGCGAGGTCCTCAAAATATTATAGAAAGTCCAACTTCCCTTTCCGACATCTTTCCGCCACATTACGGAAAAGAACGAGGCGTTATTCCCTTTTACCCCTCCCACAGAGGAACTCAAATCCCAGGTACCGTAAAAGCTGCCCATGAGGGAACTATTAGGCCCTGGTGAGAGATCTGTGTAACTGTGGTTAATCCGGGGCTGATTCATGCACCCTTCTCCAAAGCAAGAGAATTTAGGCTCTCTAAATGGAGGTACTTTTATGCCATTTTTGGGACACTTTGCTGTGGGACCGGTGGTGGTGTCCAAGTTGCCATTCTTGAGCATGATCATCCAGAACTGCCATGGTTTTGCATCATTTTCTTTCACTTCACACTTTGAGCCCAAGTAGATCTCTTTCTGATAAGCATAAATGTCTGGGTTGTACAGATCTTTGGGATCCAACTGGGGAAGAGCTTGCCCAATTCCTAGCATATTATCACGTTCTTTCACTTTGTGCTTCAAATTGTAAAGAGAACAGTTTTTCATTTCTGCAACACAAAAATATCACCTTCAATAAAAAAACTGCATATCTGATCTGCTCTCTAAGCATAATTATTTTTGACAAGCTTGATCTCCTGCCTCACTGCTCGACCGCCTCGACGTGGCACAACAGGATATACGACCGAAATACGTACAATATACAAAAATATGATTTTTTATATGCCGTGGTTGTAGTAATAATCTTTAATGACTATATTTACGTACAATTTATCATTTTATGCTAAAATGATAGATCATGGATATACTCATCATATTAATTTTAATTATATTTTTGTTCATAACTTTTATTTCACTAGTATTTTACGAAAACTATCTGAATATATTGTTAATGATGAAAATTGATACTCCTATTATAATTGTAAGTTATATGGAGTATAAACCAGATCAGACTAGATCAGATCAGTCCAGACTAGTTCAAACCAGAACAGACAAGACTTGGATAATTATAAAAATACAAAGAGACCAGACCAGACCAAACCAGACCAGCAAATTGCAATCCAAGTAAAAACATCATTGCTTTTCCTTCCAAGTTAACCTTTTAGAATGAAACATCGTATTTTAACATAGTATTAGAGCCAAATTTATACATGTTGTGGGCCCCTTTATGAAAAAATGATTGACACGATTATAAAAAATAACAATACCTAATCGATGAAAAAACGAATGATGTCACGATCCAGACAAAGTGTCTGATCGTGATGAGAGGTGGTGAATTTCACACTAGATACTTGTGAAGAAATTAAGTGGGAAAGTTAAGATCTGAATTATTCATCCTATCAAAACGATCTAATAGGTAGGAATCCAAATCTTAACCATTTTCTTAAGTAGGTTTGAGCTACCCAAATAAAAGTATAAGACGTACCCGATTTGTTAAAAACTAATTGAAAATACAAACCAAAAGAAAACAAAGAGAAACCAACGAATCAAGAAAGAACAACATAACGTAACTAATTAAAAATAAAATACAATTGTATCATTAAAAAAATTCAATAACAAAATTGACTTTAGGGTTGTATATGAACATAATCGAACCATATAATTGAACTCATAATTCATTTATATTCATATAAATATAAATAACGGATTATTCGTAATTACATTTGTATAATAGTGGAATCTTATTTTACATTCATAATCAATTCAAGCCATTTGTTATTTTCACAAGAATATTATTAAAATAAAACTTATTTACATAAATATGATTATTCATTGCTACAACATAGTGTTGTGGTAAATTAAGTTCATGAAAATGATTTACTATAATGTCATTACTACTCTAGTAACTAGTCATATTTTTATAAATCATCTTTAATTTGGTCATATTTTTGTAATTATTTCACCACAAGTCAATGGGTAAACATGCATCGGATTGCATTAAAAGATAAGAATATACTTCGTACAATTGAGAGGGAATGAACGAGGTCAAAGCTCACCCAAAAAGGAAATTACATTGGATCTAATATGAGGAATACCTGAAACATCAGACAATGCGACAATCTAATGCTATTAGGCTCCACTCGTTTGTTGTATACTTGTATTCAAATGCTATTTGTACAAGACGAAGTGCACACATCATTTTGCACAGATTGTGTGTATAGACAATTGGATCAGCGTTTTTTAAAAGAACCGTGCGCTTTTTGCATAGACAAAAAAATTGAAATTGTCTGTCACAAACAAAAAAAATTGCTTGTGGCACAAACAATTTGTTTTGTCCGTGCAAAAACCGGTTCGCTTCACAAAACGAAGATCAAATTGTCTATATACAGACAATTTAACCCGCGTGTAAAATGGTGTGTACAGTGGCATGTACGCGAAGCATTATTGTTCAAATATATTCAAGTTTGCAAAGAATTAAAGCCTTTTTAATTCATTAATACATTTTATTTAACTACCTAAAGTAACATATTATTTATACTTAGCGTGTCTAACGTATTAAATGTGATTTTCTAATTTGTAATTTCTAATAGTGTAAAACATTACATTAATAGATGTATAACTATTTCACAAACAGTTTCAAACATCTCTATCAATAAAAGTTTTTATCAAAATACATCACAATTAACTTTTTAATACATCAATACATTTTATTTAACTACCTAAAGTAACATATTATTTATATTTAGCGTTTCTAACGTATTAAATGCGATTTTCTAATTTGTAATTTCTAATAGTGTAAAACATTACATTAATAGATATATAACTATTTCACAAACACATCAATTAAATTAAATCTAATTGATCTTTCTAAAATATTAAATCTAATTCATGTAAATAAGTAACTCTATAATAAATTTCTAACATCAATATCGGTTTAGTAATACGGAGTACTATTTAATATTTATATAAAACTAGAGATTAAACTATACGAAGTACAATACAACGATTCAATTAATACAATAGAATTAACAAATACCAAAAGTAAACATTACAATGAATATATACGCTACGGAAGATTAAACGACTATACTAAATAGATAGTACTAAACTATCAAAGGCAACAAACCAACAAATACGGCAACACTCCAAATTTTTATTGGGGGCAACTACTTGGGCTTTTAATTTTTTATTAAAATTTACAAAGGGTTAGTGGGATCTTATTGGGAGCAGCTGCCCCTCATGTGTGAGTAGATCCGCCCCTGATTAAAGGTCAAACTTATCAAAATGGTTAAGATGGTAACGCATAGTTTGTCTTCTTTTAATCCAAATTTCATAGAAATCAAAACAAAACATACAAAATACCAACAAGTTAAAGTACATTGTATTAAAACAATAAATCATCCATCTTGATATGGAACTATATATATGATAGCTAGTTGTATACTTGTATAAGAGGAGTTAAAACATATATACCTTGATGAGAATGAGAAGAACAAGAAGGATTCCTATGCACATCAAAGCAATCGGCAGCTCTGGGGCTTACCGAGCCGTTGACCTGCTCTCCAGCCTCATTGCACTGATTCCATGCCTCGATCGCCACTCTCAGCCCATCCCTTTTCATCCCCGGATCACCGACGGCTGAGATGAACCCATTCGTTTCACCCTCCACGTCAGCAGTGACCAAGACCAGCAGAAATATGATGTAGTAATAACTCTCAAATCCTGCAGCCATTGATAAATAAACTAAAATAAATCAATCATCACGAACCCCTACTTCTATTTATATACCGCGTGGAAGAATATAGTAGAAATAAAATATTCCAAAGAAGGAAAATAATGCTTAGCTGTGGCTATATATCAGGAAAGCTAGCTAGTATACCAAAAGAACTGAGCTAGGATATTTGAAGCATTTAATTAATTGTAATATTTTAATTGGTTTATGTAGACAGTTTGAAGAACGGTATCCTGAAAGTATGTACTATGTACCGTGTATGTAACTTTACTCACAAGGTACTTAATCTCATAGGCATGGATCAATTAAAATATTGCAATTGAACAATTTTAACATAAATAAATGATGATTTAGATTAATCAATATGTGCGATGCTCTCATTTTTTATAGAGAGAATTTGACTTTGTACCTCAATATTTGGATGATATATTGATATTACACCCGTTTTCAAAATCATTAATGTGAGATCATCACATCAATCTAAAAATTGTGAAGGAGTAAACTGTAAAGTCAAATGATTATATAGTGAATTGGGATGCATACATTAATGATTTTGAAAATATGGTGCAAAGTCAAATATCACACGAAAATAAGGTGCAAAGTCAAATATCATCCAAAAATGGGATTCAAAGTCAAATTCTCTATCTTTATAATTACTGTTGCATTCACCTTTATTTAACTAGCCTGGTGTGCAATTATGTCGCTTTTTTTTTACTTATAATGTACTATGTATTACGGAGTATTTACTTTTGTTTTCAATCCCGCCAATTATGTTTTATTAATTAGCCTCTACCTTACTAAATTTCACATTGTGTCTAATTTATAAATTTTAAAGAAACAGCAGCAGCACGCTTGGTGGGTTAAAGGTACGTAATTAAAGACATATAAATCGTATTTTCAAACTATAGGTTTTCTTGACTTTTTGATATTGAATTATTCAATACTCCATATTTTCCAAAAGAAAATGACTTTGAAAGGAAATATTCCAATCATGACATTTTATTATTCAACATACGACGTATAGTATGTGGTTAGAGAATCGGAATTGAAGAAGACTAAAACGGACAAAACAAATTGCAAGGGTGAAAACTTAAAGGAAACCTGTTTTTACGGAGATCTAAAGAATATTATTTCCGACTTTAAAAAATGAATATTATTTTCGAGGAACTAATTGAAAAAATTAATACCAAATAATGTCTCAAAGTATGGTCTACTATTTTGATTAACTCCACATTCTAACCTTAAAACTTACTTCATCTAACAAATTATACTGTCCTGCAACTTTGACACTTTGGGTTTGTTTGAAGCCTTGTAGTGATGGCCTCTAGCCTCTAGGGCGGTAAATACTGACCAGAGTTTTTTTTAATATTAATAAAATGAAATATATAAATAATTTACTATGATGCTTATACATAGAGTATTATTAGATGGTGATAAAATAAGATGTCCATGTAGAAAGTGTAAAATTGTCAAATTTCAAGACAGTGGGGAAGTTGGGTGGCATTTGTACACGAAAGGTTTTGTTAAAATTACTATAATGAGACTTCTCATGGCGAACACTTCAATCTGTCACTTTTATCCCAAATAGTGGGTTCATCTTGTAACGTTCCTATCGAGATGAATGGGTGGGGAGACTATGATCAAATGACGTGGGATCATAGAATGATACATGATATATTTGGTGCCTCAACTTCACAACTTAACCCCTCCCCGAACTTCTAACAATCCTCTTGAAATTGTTAATTATATTAAGGCTCGAACTTTTATGTCCCTCATGCGGATGAAGATCTGAGCTCTCATGTTCCTCATATTGAGGATTTAGGAGAGAGATTTCAAGATGACTTAAGAGCTATCAACCGCTTTGTGTTGATTATGAGGGTTACTCTCACCTATTCATCGTTTCTGAGTTGTTGAACATTAAAGTTGAATACAATCTCCCTGAAATTTGCATGTCTAGGCTATTGCAGTCAATAGGAGGAATGTTATAGTGTGAGCAAAGTTTTCCTGCTACATATTATAACATGAAGCAACTAATATCTAGTTTGGGCTTCCAGGCCCTGTTCTGGAGGGAGGGCAAAGGGGCACATGCCCAAGGCCCATCCTTTGTGTAGGGCCCATAATTTTACATGTTTTATTACTCCGTATAATATAAGTAGTTATAATATACTGCACAAGTATGTAAAATATACTAATGGCAAACTAACGTGATTTAGGGGGTGTTTGGATCTGATTCTTAAACTGCTTCTGCTCCTTCAAAGAGCAGAAGCAGAAGTTGGAGTGTTTGGGTAAAAGTGCGGAAGTGATTCTAGTGCCCCATTTTACTCCTAGAATCAGTTTTTGTAGAAGTTGGGGGAGACCAGCTTTAAAATAAAACCGAAGCAGATCGATTCTGATACCCTGAATTCTGATTCTACTTCTAAACACCCCTTAGCTATCAGCGGATCGATCCACCTAATTGCAAGGCTTTTGGCCGACATGAGAAGGCGAACGGAAAGTCGGAAGCATTGCCATCTTCTACGACCATTTAGCTCTCGTCACTACAAGAAAAATGGGCATTAGTGACAAACAATTTGCGACCAGTATAGAATACAGTCGCAACAGATTGGTAATAGCGACCTCTTATTTATATGGTCGCAAAATGATAAGTTTTTCTGACGACCTTCTTCTTCTTCTTCCTCCCCCTCCCCCCTCCCCCTCCCCCTCCTCCTCTTCTTCTTCTTCTTCTTCTTCTTCTTCTTCTTCTTCTTCTTCTTCTTCTTCTTCTTCTTCTTCTTCTTCTTCTTCTTATTCTTCTTCTTCTTCTTCTTCTTCTTCTTCTATGGGTTCCTCCTCTGTCCACAAAATGAAATGCCCAACCCTATTGCTTTAGAAATTAGAAGCTTTTTTAACCTTTTTATGAAATGCCAGAATTGTTGCAAAAGATTTGTCAAGCCGATTTCCCTTTTTGGTTGATTTTGTGTGCTTGCCCGAAATTGTACATGTTTGTCATATATATATATACTAGCGGAGTACACACTACGTGCGAATGATGCCCAATAACTGCATTTACTTTCCTGAAATTGTTGTGTGCTAAATTTTATTGAAATTATATTCATTTGTCTAGATTTTTATTGTCTTTTTATGGGAAAAACTTTAAAAATTGCCATGAAAATATTTATTCACAATGGAACATTAAGTTAGCCACAACAAAAGTTATTTGGATTTTTTTATGGAATTTGTTCGGTATATATAGCATGTTATATACCATCTCTATCTCATTAACATTGGAACATGAGGATGTTATACACTTATTAAAGAAAAGTTGATTATACAGTTGATATTGAATTAATAAAGTAAGAATAAAATAAAAAATGATTTAGATTCAAACAAATTTTACCGGAATTAGTATTGAACAATCTTAGTGGGAGAGGGGAAGTATTTTATTACTATCTCTTCATTATTTTATTCTTTTATTGGTTTTAGGGATTTTGATTCAAGTTTGTTATTTGTAGCAATATGTATAGTGGATCAGGTTAGGCTCAACTTAATGAAAATTATGACGTGTACCTTCAACCTTACAAAGACAACAACTATAGAGAGGACCTAGGACTTGTCGTTTGCTCAATTGCTCAAGAGTTCGAAGTGAATTAATGTGTTGGCTTTATTATTTTTAAAGAAACACCAACACAACATACAATTGAATTGTGTTGATTTACTTCAATTAAAAGCTATAAATAGAATTAGAGAAAATCAGGTGCTTATCACAATTCTATTAAAGTAAAGAGCATATAGAGAAATAAATTGAGAACAGGGAAATTGCACCATATTTTTTGTTATCTCTAAGTCACAAGTAATAAAACTATATCGTCAATTAGATCTAATAACCTGTCATGTGCTATTTCAATGGTTTAAAATAATACCATAAACGGAGCGAGTCTAATATGTATGTCAATGACTGAAATTACAAAACTTTAGCAAAATGAAATAAAGAAATGAAAATGAACAAAGCGAAGGAAAAAGGAGAGGAGATAAACATTTTTAGTTACTAATAGCTTTATTCCTAGTTGTCATACTTACGGAAGAGTTGAGAGAGATCACTTAGCCTACAAAAACCCAATATTCCAACAATGTATATATAGGGGGTGTTTGGATCTGATTCTCAAAACTGATTCTGCTCCTTCAAGGAGCAGAAGCAGAAGCTGGAGTGTTTGGGTGAAATTCCAGAAGCACTTCTGGAGCTCTAATTTACTCTCAGAATCAGTTTTTTTAGAAGCTGGGAGGTACCAGCTTCTGAAAACTGATTCTGATTCTGCTTCTGCTTTTAAAAAAGAAGCAGAAGCAGAATCAGTTCCAAACACCCCCATAATAGACTAAAGCTTTGATACGGAAGGCTTCCAAGCTCTTGGGAATTGGGATCTGTCTGTAGCTTTGGTGTAGCTCTAGGAACAGTAGGTATAACAACTATGCCACCATCCTATCTATATACAAGAGTCAGAACAATAGTACATCAAGATTGAGTTTTAGCTTCAAGTTTTTTAGTTTTATGAGAGCATTAAACAAGAAGATTTGGACATGTAAATGGAAAACTTTTTTTCTTTTTTAATTACAAAAAGGAAGTTTTGAATGAAGTTGGAGACTTGCCCCATATATATGGGTGTCCAAGAATTGAAGCCTTTGATTAACTCTCTGTTATTCTCCTTTTAGGAATTACTCATTATATTTATTTTAATCTCTTACATTGTTAAACCATCAAACACTAACTGTCAAACTACATACAAACTCACATATAACATCGAGGCTTAATCCTCCTATGACCTTTTAGTATGAGTGTGATGGTGGAGGCCAATGGACCAAGAATGTTATGGTTTCCGACCTTTCTTTTTCCCAATATGTTTACTCAGTTTTGGCATGAAGCACCAGGAGGGCTGTGTCATATCTTCCCTTTCATACAAGCAGGCAGCACTCACAGTAACAAACTAACAACGCAGTACGGTTTGAAACCAGTTCGTCCGTTGCTCCCATTTAGCGGAATCTTAAAACAGAGGAAAATATGAGCAACATAATACATTTTGTCGCCACTACGAGTCACCACCAAGGAATCACGTATAGATTGCACCATAGATGAAAGAGGTACACGATCAACTCCTCATACCGCTCCACTTTAGCTAGCCGACCTTTGAAACCCACAACACCTGTATCACTTTTCATGAATACCTTTTTATAAGCAGATCTGGGACTACTGAAGAGCAGTGTTTTCAAGATTCATGGTTCTTGATCTGTTATTAACATTAAAATAAATATGGCCACACAAAATTGAAGTAAATGGTAGTCAAGTTTTATAATCTGAAGTTCTGAAGTCTGCACAACCCCTACAGCTTTTGAATTACCCTCAAGAGTGCACCTAGAGCTACTTCTAGCTCATCCTTTATAGAGAGACAGACACCTATTTTTTCATTTGTAGTCTTGAGTGCTTCCCACATCTGTTCTGCTATCTGTGGTTCTTCTTGAATTCATATGTATACATTTTTATGATATGCTTTCATTTCAAATGTACCAAAATGAGTTATTTTAAATACCACACAATTTAAGGTGTTGGTAAAAAACAGGTGGAAAGCATAACTATCCAGTAGCAGTCGGAGTAGGTCAATAAGGTCTAGTGTTTCAGTAAGAACAAAGAAAGTTCCTATAGACACACACAATGACTTAAAACTTATTCAACTATTTGTTGGTGATGTCTTTTTAAGTGTTACAGATTTAATTGGCAAATGAAAATATAGGTATACAAAGGCACTGGAGTAATATCATCACATAAAGAACCAATAAGGCATCACAAAAGACCTGCATAATCTACAAATTTTGACTAAAAAGTAAAAAGTAGAAGGAAACAATTCTGCAGTTAGCAATAGAATGAATCAAGTATGAACTCATTAGTTCAAGTATTTAACCCATGCAATTTAAGTCATATAGAGGGTGGAGTTTTACTGAAATTTATAAATTAGTAATCAGTGTAGGTCTGGGTTTGAAATGATATCAATGGAGATATGCTCATCTGCATCTGGGTATATCTATTTTGTAACCAAAATAGCAAAAACCAAGAAATACAGAACATACGAAACTTAAGAACACTCTAAAAACCACGGCCAAGGAAAGGGACAAAGTGGATCATAGCTTCCATACTTAACACATTTTTATATCTCAAGAATGAATAAAAAAAACACTCTTTTAAGGTAACAAATGTTTGGATTAAATCAAAATAAGACCGACCATATAAAATGAAACTTGAGTTTGATTACCTTCTTTAAGAAACCTTGTGTGGGTGGTGACGTCTTCAACCGTATTCATGTGACACAGAAATTATTAAACTATATAAGAAACGTATTTCCAATAACACCTGAAAACCCAAAAAACCTAAACACTTTGCATGTGAATTTAAAAGAAATTATTAACATTTGAAGTATGTTCTTATTTGGGCGCCTATTCGTTGGAACCATTTGAATTAGTGTTCTCATTTTTGAAACACAGGTTTCAACTCGTAGGAACCATTTCGAACAAGCGCGTTCATACTACGTATACCAAAGTATCTCCCTAACAACTACTAATTCCAATGTAGTGATGTAATGAGAGCATTATATTGGAAGTTCCAAAAAGTGAGTTTTCCTACCTAATGTTGTCACTTGCTCCAAGTTTCTTATAAAATTCTAATTAACTAAAAGTATAAAGTATGAAACTCAAAGCACTACCAGTAAGGATAAAGAAAAGGCTTAAGCACACCAAACTCACACTACCCTGAAGGCCTGAATGTTTTAATAACTTAAAACATTTTTAAGTTATTAAAAATGTTAATAACTCTAATAAACAAGCATATTAAAGTGTGAAACACAAAGCACTACCAGGATAAAGAAAAGGATTAAGCACTATTTACGGAATTTGAATATCCCTGACACATAAGAGAGAGTTGCTTAGTTTAAAAGAAGTAAAGTATGTTTAGTTATAATGTTTGGTTTTTTCAAGGAATTGGTGTCAATGAAAGTTGCAAAGTAAATGTTTTCTTATGGAAGTTCAGTTTTGAGTTTTACTTTGAATAAAATATCTGTCTATTTAATTCATCTTTAAAGCAATTCAATTTGTGTATGACTTTTTCTCTATGTCCGATGATAAATATTAACATGAGTATAGTAAACAATGAGCATGTAAAAAGATGAGATACATTTTAGAATTAGAATTGTAAGTGAATGTATGAGTGTGCTCTGCAAGGGTTAACTGTTATTTAAACACAAGAGTTCATTTTATACGTTCAACTGAATTCTACATTTTAAACGGTGGTTAAGGCATTTTGTCGAACAAGTAATGGACATTTATGAAATGGTTAACAAGGTAATCTGGAAAAGGAGGCCAGATGATTACCAAGGTTGTACGTATGGAGATTTCAACATTGAGGAGAGAATTAGCCATTTCAGAATTTATTCCATGGCAACCCAATTAAGTGATTCAGGAGATTGAGAATGAGTACCTGGGGGAGAATCGGAAGGGCATCGCGACAGAAGTGGAAGAGATGAACTGCTGTGGTTTTTGTTTTGTTTTTTGAAAGGATGAACTGCTGTGGTGGAGATTTTGCATAGCGAAGGAATCGACGCTTGGAGACTGTAAGGTTGGATAAACGGTAGACAGCAACGTGCATACAACAGACGGACAAAAAGAGAGATAGTCTCGAGTGTGAAACACAAAGCACTACCAGGATAAAGAAAAGGATTAAGCACTATTTACGGAATTTGACTGCCTTCCCGGTCGAATTTTGAGCTGAAATTTGGTATGGACAAACTAGACTTGATGAGGAACATGCTCAAAAAATTTCATCAAAAAATTCCACCGGGAACCGCCCCAAACAGTAAAGTTCGGACGGTCCCTCCCGTCCCTCCGGAGGGACCTGAGCAGTCCTCCATATATATATATATATATATATATATATATATATACATATATATATATATTTTTCCTAGTGTGGGCCTTTGCTTTGGTTTTGCCCTTATGCTTTATGTTGCTATGTTGCTGCTGAATTTGAAAATGCTTAGTGCAGTTCGTTTCTTATTTTAAAAAAATGAGGTGTGTTCCTTGAGAAAATAAAAGAAATAGATTGATGAGTTTATATGTTGTGGTGTGCAGGGAATGTTTTCTTCACAGGGACCAGATTGTTGGCTTTTTGTTTACGGTGGGTGTGTAAATGGCATTTCAGTTTGTGTTATAGATGTTTCAGAGGTGAATCCCTCATCTCCTCTTCAAGCCTAGAGGTTGTGTTTCTTCCTTTGTTTGATTTTTCCTTCAATTGATTACCTGGCTGCCAAATTCATTGATGTCACATGCCTTCATAAAGATAATATGAAAAGAAAAACATCAGAAATATTTGGAATTTGTATACCTTACTGTGTAAAAAACTTAAGCACTCTAGGTGTTTGTGGTTTTGTTTTAGTGAATATTTGTTTGGTATTTTTCCTCCACAGCTAATTTGCACTGTGTGGATCACCGAATGCGCTCATCTATGATACTCCCGTCTCCCGTGCCTGCTAATTTATAAATCTAAACTTATGCCTCTAGAATTAGCGTAAAATAGGCAGCCATTCCCTTAAGAAAGGCATTATGACCATTATTGTGCCTTACTTTCTGATGATAATGTTACTGATGTCCAGGGTATTGTCTCTTATCTACAGAATATCAGTCTTGTGTCTTGTGATTACTAATGAGGACAATAACCTCCTTTTGGCCCCAGTTACCAAAGATGAAACACAGTGCTCCCGGGAGTGATGGCTTTGATGGTTATTTCTAACATGCTCCCTATGATATTATTGAATATGACTTATTAATTATTATATGTTGTCAGGGAGTTCCTATGTGGGTTACCTATTGCCAAGTCTATTGGTCACACTCTTATAGCTCTTATTCCAAAAGGAAAAAATGCCAATCAGTTTTCTAAATTCTGGCATATTAGTCTTAGTACGTAACTATGTAAACAATTTTTTACTGAGATTATTACTATTCAGATTGCCACAATTTTGTCCAAAATTATTTCTGATGAACAATCGGCCTTTCTAAAAGGGAAAGATATTTCTGATAGTATCTTGGTCTTAAGAGAGCTGATTATAGGGTGGCAAGTACAATGACAGCGCTAGCCACGTTTACACTCAACTTTCGCCCGCTGCTCGATTTTTGTTTCGCAAAGATAACACACTCCTTGACTACTTGAATGAGGATGGTCAGTCCTTTGAGCCTACTTGGTATCTAAATGTAGCCTATAATATAGAAACAGTTTGTTTGATTACGATATATACAATAACAGATGAATACGTAAATGACTGAATAGTTTGCTCTTTGGACCACAGGTAAGTCCCAGTCATTCCAATGGCCCTAATTAACTGCTGTGAGGGAATAGGGACAGGTTGGAGCTTACCTGTTTTGAACCAATTGAGTCCTCGGTTGTGGTTCATGCTAATTTTATGGATAAACTGCTTGAGCAAATGTGTGGTTCATGTTGAGGGTTTGTTTGTTTTAATTATGTGTTTGTCAACCTATTATGCGGTTATGTCCCTATTAGTTAATGTCTTGTTCTTGTTGTGTTAGGTGAATAATGTCCACTCCAGACTATTACGGAGTATGTCTCTATTCTTTGTGCTGCTTCTCCAAATATCCATTCAACCAAGGTAGATGTGACTGTGAGCTGCTCTTATAATAGTTCTAGCCTTAGCTTGTAGGGCTTCTTCTCCATCTGTTACGCAATTCACTTTTGTTTAATAGTTTCGGTTGCAGAACATGGTTGCAGTATTCTACTTCTTAACCTGCCAAGTCTTCCAGTTTTTACTGCTTTTGGAAGTTCAAGGGACAAAAATCATCCTCAAGAAGTCAAGATTATGTTTATTGTCCAACTTGTGTTATGTTCGAACTTGAGACAACTGTAGCATATTATATACTCCCTCCCAAACATTTATATCTTCCCACTTTCCTTTTTTGGACGTAACATTTATATCTTCCCATTTCTAAATCTTCCCATCATACTCTCAATAATTTAAAAATTAATACACTATTACACCTACTTTTTTTGGATTTATCCTTCATTCTATCACATTATTTCACAATCTTTCCATCATACCCTCAATAATTTATATCCTCTTTCACTATTCTTAATCTCACCCACTTTGGAAGTGGGAAGATGTATATGATACGGAGGGAGTACCTAGTACTACGTAGCTTGTTTCTTGCTCCAATATAGCAACAATTTAAGAATTAGTTTTGAAATAATCATTACATTTCAGTTGTACTAGAACTTGCTACAATTTCTTATTATTGTTCATCTTTTGTATGAAAGATATATATCTATCGTGTCGGATAATGAAACAAATAACAATATAATATTTATTTATTGTCATTAATATATTGACAAAATATGTCACAAATAATATATACGATAGTATTTAAATTAATTTTATATAATATTGTTACAACCACAGGATAAATAGTTTCAAAACTCTTTACTGAAGGGTTAATGGTCGCAATTGATATTAAAACTGGTCTTTAATATTACCAATTGCGGCCATATTTTATCTGGTCCTAGAATGCTTTAGCGACCAACCTCTTTTTCCAGTCACAAATTGGGACCAACTCGCGACCACTTTTTTTGGTCGCAAATAGTCATTAGCGACTGTTTTTAACGTTTTTGTGACCGGTTTTCCAGTCCCTAATAGGCCTTTTTCTTGTAGTGCGTAATGGGGAATTGAGAAGTATCATTTGTCATCCCAATAACCTGGAAAATTTGAACTCCATTGGTCATCGCTCTGCTACTCTTTTAGATTATTTTTTCAAGCTTTACTCCGTTGTTCAATTTTCTTTTCGAGCTCTTCTCTCAATTTCTTTTCGGACTCTTCTCTCAATTTCTCTTCTATTATCAACTCACTTGACTAATCCATCTATCTTCATCAACTTTTTCATCCGCAATCTATGAGTGTGAAGGAGGATTTAAGAATTGCAGACCGGTGATTGAAGATTGTGGAGGTGATTTACTTTAACTTCACTTTTGATTCATAATTTATTTTAAAATTTAGATTTATTTTCTGCTACGAGTATTGTTGGCAAATGTGTTGATTTAGAGAAGTTGTAATGAGCTATTTAAACTAGTTGTATTGGTTATATTTCAATAACCAAATCCAATATTGCTCTTTCTTAACTTTCTTACTACGTAATACTAGTATTTAAGTACGGAGTATTTAACAATGACTTTTAATGTATGAAGTAATTGCTTTAGTATTGAACTTTACTTTTATAATAAAAAATGTTTTCTTGCTTTATAATTTGAGGGCCCATTTTTGTGACATGCCCTGGGTCTCCAAAATGTCAGGACCTGGCCTGGGGGCTTCCTTGTATAGAAACATATGCGTGCTCTTTCGGAGGTATGTTGTTGTGAAAAGCTGATGACACACTTGAGAGCTGCATGTTTTGTGGGTTGGAGAGATACAAACCTATTTAATTTCCCAAAGATGTAAAAAAACCACGAAAGAAGTAAATTATTTTACTTCTCACTGGCTCTTTGGCTCAAGAGGATATATGCTTCAAATACTACTACGAAATACATGACATGGCATATTGAGCACGAAACTAAGAGGGTTTGATGTCTCACCCTTCGGACTATGAAGCTTAGAGACACTTTGATCGTTATCATCCTCAGTTTGTAATGGAACCATGAAATGTTCGACTAGAATTGTGTTCATATGCATTTGCTCCGTATGGAAAGTTTGGGAGTAAATTTTCTTGTTGGCCAATCATGTTAAGTCCTTATAATCTCTCTCCTGATATGTGCATGAAAAGTCATTTCATGTATTTGACATTAATTTGTTCGGATTCATCGGATCCGCGGAAAAGGATAGACGTTTATCTTCAACCCCTTATAGAGGAGATGAAAGAACTTTGGGCTATTGGGACACCAACATATGATATCTCTCGAGATCAAATGTTTATCATGAAAACTGCCATCATATGAACAATTAATGACTTCACTGCCTAAGGTATGCTTTTGTGATTAAACGCCGCCGGTCTTCTGGGATGTCTCATATGTATGGAAAACTTATATGCAATTTGCTCAACTTTAGTCGTAAACCAAGTTACTTTGATTATATTGTCACAAGTTTCTGTCGTCAAACCATCGATATCGAAGGAATAAAAAATATTTCGTGAAAGTAACCATCATTAATATTTCAACATTCTTATATATACATTTGTCACGGAATAAATTTTATTTTACACAATAGGTTTTTGAGAGAGTTGAAAAAGAAAGTAATCAACAACACATATGTGGGACTTCAATATGTCAAACATATATTCAACAAGAAATCTCAACAGTTTCATCATTTTTCTTCAACGTGATGTCATCACTAAAAGAAAGAGACCTGCCAATGCAGAGGTAAAGGAGCTGCGACTTATCGCTACATCGTGGGCAAAAAATATAGAGCTACAGCTACTTATACTTACGTCCTAATGAATTGTCAAGAAATCTTACTATTTTATAAGTTGAATTGCTAGTTTAGAAATATGAGCATGAGTGTTAAATTTTCTTTTGTATTATTTTACTGTGAATTTAGAGCATCTTTATCAGCATTTCTTGATGATGT